TCAAGAACACTATTTAGTTCCTGGATTTTGTTCTCTTTAAATTTTACTTGCTTTACAGGAAAGGTTATTCTTGCCAAATAATCAAGGAATATGACTAGCACAGTTTATGCAAGGTTAAGTTGATACAGATGAAAACCTTAAAATTCTGAAAGCCATTCTATATTATTTTTCATATATTCCCTACTATTACTTACTCAAGAAAAATCATATGATTCAAATTAGATTTTCCCCAGGAAGTCATTAAAGAGACTATCAATGACAGTCTTGTATGTTTGCTTGGTGCTTCACACAGATCACATCTATATTTAGAACCCACAGTAGAAACAAATTCATAGGAATTATCTGACCCTAATTTTCTGCATTTTGATAATTTCACTGAAGACAGGGTTATTAAAGCTTGTTTGTAATTCTATTTTTTTCAGAAGTGCCTAGCAGATTCAGCTCAGAGAACATCAAGACAAAGAAACTAATTTTAAGCACTTCATAGAATATGAGTTTCTATCCAGCATAATTACAGAATGCCCCAAGCAAGTACTTCTCTAGCCTATAATCTGCCAAATGACACTATTACACATTTCTGGTTATATAACTGTTCAGTTTTGCTTCACCCAACATCCATATCCTTTCAAATAAAGCCAAGCAAGATGCTCTGATGATTAGATTCATTCATTTACACCTATGTGGAAATAAAAATAGCATATTAGTTTTGTTGTAGAAAGGACAAGAATAAGAACTTAGGAATTCTCAAGTTATGTACCATATGTGACAAGTTTCAGTTTTGTGAAGCAGTTGCAGGTGCAAGAAACATTACAGAGTATTCTCTCTTCAACATGACCATCCACAACATCAACAAAAATCCTATGAAATTCACGTGCTTGCAATATATGAGGAAAAAATGCTTATATTAAAAGTTAACAAATGTAAGAGAATTGAGTCCTTGTTTTTAGTGGGGTTAAGGGGAAGGTGGAGGGGTGGGGGGAAGCTGCAAAGGAATTTTGCTTCATGCATAACCCACCGCAAGGCTGGCACAGAATACCTAAACCAACAGCTCTGTTGTCATGGGGACTACGAGGAAAAGGCATTTAAATGCCAAGATTTATTTCTTTATTAAAACCTTGTTTAACAGCTATAACGCCAGACCTACACTTCATACCTTGGAAGCCAAAACTAAACAACCTAAGGATAACAAATCTGCTGGCAGAAGAGGCCAGGCCCAGTGAAGCGCTGGTGCTGCGCTCCCTATCCGCGTGCGGGACGCGGCGGCGGGACATGCCAGCCCCGAGGATGCAGCTGCCTAGCAGGTAGCTGTGGTGACACGGAGCCACGCGCTGAGCATGCGGGAAAGCCGAGCGATAAGAGCGCCGGGAATACAGCCCCCCTGCCCGGCCCATGCCATTCCTAATAAAAGCAGTTACTGCTTTTTCCTCAAGGAATAAAGCGTGCAATCCAGTACAGCATTATCAGTATCGGTAACTCATGGAGTAAGGCCCTCCTAGGGGCACAGAAATCAAAAATCATTGCACCTCCTACTACAGGATCCCCGTGCCTCAACGCAAGGCACGGGGATCCTGCTTCCCTTTGCGATGGGAGGAGGGATGGAGCCACGTCCAGGGCCCGTGGTTAAGAGCAGCGAGTCGGCGCGTTCCCGCTCCGAGCGCGGGCGCCCACGGCAGCCCCCTGGCCCCACACGGAGCACGGGGGCCCCCTTCCGGCACCGCGGGGGAAGCTGCACTGTGGCACCGCGAGCCTCTAATGTGTCGCTCACATCAGCAACAGTGATTTATTATCAGATCACCCAGAACATACTGCTTACGCAAAAGAGTTGGATGAAAATGTTTTCTACTTCATCGTAATGCAAAGAACAACTTTCCAGCTGGTCTGAGGCTGGAAAGATCCATCAATTCTAGATCTAACATTCAGTTCGCTCAAGCTCTCAGCTCAGCATATCTGGAGTGTCACTTTTGTAGGTATGAGGGTGTCAATTTTTGCAACGAATTCTTATTTAAGAATTATTTGAAGTACTAAGTTCAAACAGACCATGGTAAAAAGGAATCTATTTCCTATACCTACCTTCTGTATAGTTAAGTAGGGGATAACATACATGCCTAAACATCAGAGAAAAAGCAAAATATTGAAGACTTCAAAAGTAAAGCATTTGGAGTCATTGCTGGAACTCTGGTCAATAAATAGTCCACTATCAATATTTCAGGTAGTCATGGTGCAAGTGAATAGATCCTGTTCGTGTCACTACAGAAAGAACCACGAAGCCAGAAAGCAGATGTTTAAATTTGTGGAGCTTAGTCATACATAAATTGTACATAAAAGGTTTGATTGCCCTGAGGATAAGCACAGAGCCACAGGAAAGCAATAGGCAGGAGAAGGCACATCCCAAGGGCAAGGCAACAAGACGACCTTCTGACAAAGGAAGTGATGTTTTTATCAAGTCACCTCTCAAGCGTGGCCACAAACCACCACCAGCTCTGCAAGGCTTTTCATGCCCAACCATGACGGCACTGGGTCTGGCTCAGCCTATAGACTCACAGGGGACACTCAGGCCTCCCAGGCAACCCGACCAAAGCACAAGGTTTAATAGAAACATAGCCCAGATCACTATATATTTAAATTACAAGGACTTCAGTCTTGCAGATGCTAAGCCACTGGAAACAGACACTGCAGTTTTCGACATAAAGAAGAAAACAGCCTAAACTATCAAGTTATTTTTAGTTACTTTTATGGTTGCTTGGCTAGCTTCAGGCTTTGCCAAATTCTAAGGGAAAATTTCAGATTATATAACTGCCCTTTGCAAATATGCCAGCCTCTGAAGTAGACCAAGTCACCTGTAATTTAAAATTAAATTACTTAATGTTTTTCTAAGTAGAATATACTGAAATACTTGTAGTATTCCAGTGAGTCCAGTATCTACTGAAAACAAATATGTATTTTTAAGCTTTGCATTCACTCTAACAGCAGCACAATGAGACAGACATTTGTTTGAAGCTGGGTTCCAAGACCTCTTCTTGACACCGTACAGACAGTTGCCGCAATACCGTTAATTCCTCAACTGCTGCTTCGCTAGTCCCTGTTCCCAACACCCACATGTGAGGATAAGACCAGGGCATTTTTATCGGCCATGGGTCCTCAGGACAGCGTGGTCGCACCCCGCAGCACGCGCGTCCCTTGGGAGGGGAGCTGCCAAGGGCCGGTCCTGCCCACGGCTCTCCCGAGCGAGGCAGCTGCAAGGGAGCGGCTGCCAGGGGCACGGGGCCTGCAAGGGGCACGGGGCCTGCAAGGGGCACGGGGCCTGCAAGGGGCACGGGGCCTGCAAGGGTGCTTCCAAACACTGTTGTCAGGGGCCCTGAAGAGCACCCGCAGTGGGTCCCCTCTTATTTGATGTTTTAAATCACGTTAAAAGAGTGATCAGCATTTTGATACCACACTCCTGGTGCCATCACGCAGATCTTCATGCCAGCAGCAGGCAACGCCAGCAAAACACAGGCTCAGCTCAATCCTGAGCTCCTTTTTCCACCCACAAAGCACTCCTTGCCCAGAGGGACAAGGTTCGGTGCTTTGCTTACGTTTTAGAAAATTTGGAGTCCTCTGCACATACTAGAAGAGGTTCTGGTGATGTTTAAGCTCACATTAATAGCTCTTCCATTATCACTGACATTTCATCATAACATACTTGTTTTAAACATGACCATACCAATGCCCTAACTTGTGTCCATGACATACTGGAATAAACAATTTTCAAGTGTTATCCATAGTTTCATGTCATGTGTTTCACTGAAATTTCTATTTGGGAAGGGTAACCACTACTTTGTCTGAATTTGGGAGACAGCCCAGTTCCAGTTGTGAAAGCTATATTGCATAGTAGACATGCATTTAAGTCTTAAAAAAATGATGTAATCTTCCATGAACACGTGCCAATTATCAAGTGTCTATATGTGTGACATTAAAAACTGGCAAAGAATATGCTGAACTGCTTCTTGTGCAAGCCAACCTTACATCTACTACTGGAATTTTAGTATAAAAAGCAGTTCTCATTCATTTTAAATTTTCCATTAGCAAACCAGGTTAAGAAAATGAAGGAGTCAAAGACTAGGTGACGGAGACTAGGTAAGATGAGAAAGACTGCAATTATGTTAGAATACACTGGAAGATAAGAGGAAAGAATTGGTATACCTGGATATGGTAGGAGAGAGAGACGTGGCTGTGGCACAAGCTCCCTCAGCGAGGGACCTCTACAGAGATGCTCCCTCCCCACCCAGCAGTCAGGGAAGCAGGAGATCTCCTCAGAGTTCCAGCTGACAGAAACCTGGCTAGTGATTTGCTGCAGACCCCCATCTCGATTACCAAATGGCATTAAGCAGAGCCAGGTTATATTAGGCATTTGAATACGTTCCACAAATAAACAGCTGTTGGAGCTGCAAATGAAAGGTAGCAGAATTGCAGACAATTGATGCAAAATGTAAACAGAACAAGAGGGTATTGTATAAACTACAGGTATTTCCCCAGAAATACGAACCTCTAGGTTAAGGTATTCTTATCTTAGGTGCATATACAACTTTCTAGAGCAAAACTGACCATAGTCAAAGTCTTCCTTCCAGCCATTTGCAATATATAATGCAATGGAAAATGTTAAGCGTGCCTGCTCTGCAGCCATTCACTATCTGAAGTTTCTTTCAGTGTTAAGACTTTCCAAGATTCCCATCACAGACAAGCCCAGTACAGCTAGTTGTATTACTTGGAACCCCCTCCTCCTCCTCCCCCCACATGTTGTCCCAGTTCTGCAACCGATAGCTCTTAAGCTCTTCTCAGCTCTTAACAGAAGAGGGGACCTTGATGGTCTTTTCCAGATGATGGTAATTTGGCAAGATCTTTATTTTGACAGCACTGATCAGGTGAAGCTAAAGACAGAATTGCTTATTCAGTTTAACTACCTTAAGAACCAAACCTTTTAAATACATATATACATATGTAAAATAAAAAAATATATATACCTTTTTTCGATTTTGCTCCAATCTTCAACTTTGATGGCCAAGCGATCTGTGTATTTGTTTCTTCCATAATCTGTTCAAAGAAAAAAAATATGCAAAATTTTTACTGTTTTTAAATCTGTTGATTTTTATTACTTTAAATAGTAGAACCTGTAATTCCAAGTCTTGCAGGTGAGAACATGAAAGAGTTGTTTTGATGACAAGCAGATTTCAAGAGAAATCCAAAAGGCAAATGAAGAATGCTGCTCCAGTTTCCATGAAGTTCAAATAACTGCCACCGGCTCCTGCATGTTTTAGGCCCATCTCAGAGGAAGTAGAATTCAATTAATTTAGAAGGCATTTTCATGTAATTGAATAAATCCTATCAAATTGAAGTCATGTCATTTTGAACTATCATAAATTAAGATACATGAGGTTGCCTTCAAAGGGTGATTGCTGTCATTTTGGTTTTAAGAGTAGTTTTCTTGCATCCAGTTCACCTGAAAACAACTTTTAATCCTCAGATACTATCCAGGCCACCAAAACTGTACTTGCTGATTTAGCAGACCAAACACTGTTAGATTTGCACTTATCTGATGCAACACAACATACAATTTATTTGTAAATCTCAAGTTAGCCAACAAGGAGTAAAAAGCTCTTCGTATCTATATAGACATGTATATACACATGCACATACACACACACAGAGTTTCCTCCAGCTATATATTTGTTTGCCTCTGTGTATTCTGGTGCCTTCTTTCGCTTTACTGGATCAAAATTGAATTGTACAAAACACCAGGCACATCTACTTCCCGGACTAAAGAACTAAAGAACTTGTTCTATATACTGGGATACCATTAACTCAAAATAGCTCTTCAGGAGAATGTTGTAAGGCACCAGGAATATGCAGGTATTAAGCAAATACAGTCTTGAGCTGCATCAGGCAAGGCATTTTTAATAAAAATATTGCACAAGCTGATTGCAATCAGTATTTTTCACAATTTCAGAAACCACATATTATACAAGAAAAGGTTCTTTGCTACAGCACTGAATGCTTTTCTTTCTCCATCAGAGAAAATAATTTCTTTTGCACATATAGCAATCTGAAAACTACCCAGGAAATTTTGTAATGGAAATAATTTCTGAGAAACTGAGGTTCTCAAAGGCACCCTTAAAGGAATTGCAACTGTATTTCATAAATAAGACTATCCTGACTCTGAAAAAACTGATTCCAGCTGCATGTTATCAGGCCTTCACAAAAAAAATCCTACTTCTAAGGCAGCTGGATCAAAAGCTTTTGGCCTCCTTGTATTCCAGCTACTCTGGACATAGTGGGAAAAGTTATAGCTTAAATGCTCTTGAGAGTTTTTACATTAAGACAGTAAGAAATCATTTTTCCTCCAAGTTGTAATTTTTGTTTAGATGTTTTGGATGGAAACGAATTCACTGAGCACAGAAAGAAAACCAAAACAACTCCTCAGAAACCCACAAGCATTTTAGAACGCAGAAGAAGTATTGTGAACATCTAAGTTGAGCAGCCAACCAGCCAGACCTTCTCGTTTAGAGCAAGCAGCTGCTGGGGGAGCTGCTGCTGGAGCCGGTGGCACCAGCCTCTCCTGCCCTCCTTCCCGGGCAGGGGGAGAGGGGAGCCCTTTAAATCCTGCTTTTAGAAGAGTATCACATATAGATCTTACTCTAGATGTGAGAAAACCAACATCTATTCTTGCAATACTGGGTTCTGTATATAAAAGAGTAAGAAGCAATTAATCTACCTCCATTGTTAGCTTTTGTTATTAAGGTGCTGTTTTGAACAGCTGAGCTTTTGCCCTCAAAGCCTTTTCCTGGATTTTCCTCTCTGCATGTTAGAACCAAGCATAAATACCTACATTTAGATCAACAGTATCAACAGAAGAGCTCAGAAAACTACCACCAAAGCCCACCAAAGGGCTACGAATGGCAACAAATTTAGCCCCTAGATGTTACATACTTAGCCTTGCAAGCCAGCAAGAAAGCTACCCGGGTTCTACAGGATCAAAACACAGCAAAAATGTTTTCCACAAAGACAGACTTGGAAGAATTCAGGGGCTTAAAAAGAAGTATCCATTTCCTTTTTAGGTATTGCAGCCTCAATGAGACACACACATGCATCACAGGACCCCTAAAAGATTTGTTCCTTCCTTAGGCTTCCACACAAACTGCTGCAGCAGTATCTTATTTTGAGCCATTAAGCAAAATATTGCTGCTTTGCTGAATGGATCGTTGCTGGGACCATGCTCTAGTTCTTAAAAGGAGGCTTCAAACCCTGTCAGAAGACCTAGTGATAAAAAGCCCCAAGTGAAATCTTGTGCAAAATATTTCCAGGGGTGGAGGTGGTGAGCACAATACTGCAATAAAATTCTGGATATGCTACAAGCCAAGACCTAAAATTTCAGTTACAGTAAATGGGGATAACGCAGGTAGCCAGCTTCTGCTTTAATTTGGCACCAAGCATAAGTTTCAGCAAATTCCTTCCCTGACAAGGGCAGCTACCTCCAAAGTTCTCCAGGCTGAAGGCCTTGGCTTGGGCTATCAGGAACTGCCTCTTCACACAGACAGAAATAAAATAACAAAAGTGCAGTGCAAAGTGAACGAACGAGACAGGCCTCAAGCTACCTCCACAACAGCTTTAGAGTCGACACTGATTCTCAGTTCTGTGCTGGCACATCTTACAAAAAGAAAGTTTCCTAATATCAAAACATCTTCCAGCAAGATAAAAGGTATGCCCAGATAAGATATTTGCACGTTTAAAACTGAAAATAGTTTGAGGTAAGGCTAATCTAACATGTCCAGGAAGAAAAAAGACAAAAAAATCCACACTTGGAATTAGAAAAAAAGAAAAAAAAAAAAAAAAAAAAAAAGGAAGACAAAATATAGATAGCTGAGCTTGCACAGTAGCCAGAAAAGAATGTTTGCAAGGATCAAGTTCCAGCCCTTACAGATATGGGAGAGGACCCGCAAAGCCCGGCTGCTTGGCTCATTCCATCACCCACGCGCACCTCAGCGCGCCGAGGTCGGGACACCATCCACAGCACCAGCTGGAACGTCCCACGCAAGCACGTCCCCACTTCCAGGAGGTCTCGGTCTGTTCTAACATCTAACATAGCATCAATAAACATCCCTTTCTCTACTGGGAGGGGAAAAGAAAATGCACCTGCAAAGCTCAGACAAACCCCAACATGTACTACTAAGCAGTGCCTCCCAGGGGCTATGTATATGGTTAAAATCTCTGAAAAAGGCAAAAAATCCAAGTGTAAATGTAGGTAAAGGACTAGGAAAGATAGAGGTCTATGAATTATATACAGATAAAGGTCATGACAGCAGAGAGATTGGTTTAGCAATCCTGTTTTGAACTTGAATCATCACCAGGTCACAAACCACTGCCATTAGCATTCTTTATGGATTAGCATTCTTATGTTGTTTGTGGAGGACTGCGTATACCCAGGATGAACATTTCACAACTGACTGCTGAAAGAAAGGGGGCTGTTTTGTTACTTTGCTGTCTCCATTTCCGTTATTCCCCTGAATCTCAACAACATGTAAAAATGTCGAAGCAATTTTATGTGCAAGGAAGACACTGAGAGAAAAGTCGAAGCAGGTTGAGGGGCAAGGAAGACACTGAGAGAAAAGCAGCTGCACAAGAGAGCAGAGCCAAAAACAAAGGCTAGAAGTAGCAGTAGTAAAGAAAAAGCAGTGATACAGTAACAGCCTTTCAAAACTTGACAAATGCAATTTTCTACAAACAAGACGTTTCGATGGCATTATAGATATGCTGTTACAAATGTTAGAACTCTATATGCAGGTCCAAAACACTGTCAAAAAGTAGTTCAGTCACACTTGTAGGTGGAGAAACCCAGCCAAGCATCATGTTTATGTTCTACTAAGCTAGGCAGGGAGAAACAAATTCCTGCCACCAACATCCACACTCTCAGCACAACTAGCCACCAAATCCCAGAGAGCATTTTTTTGCTTTTCTACAAGGACATTTGAGTTGCTTAATTATTCACAGGGAATGCAGTGCATACAGTATATAATTAAAGATGTTTAAGTAGTAAGGTTAAATACCATGGCAGCTGAAAACATTAAAATGAAATAACCGAGACAGCTTTGCAGGCATGGCTTTGAATGATGAACTAGGAAAGTTTTAATAACATGACTGCAGGAATCTGATTTTAAAAAACACCTAAAAAACACTGCAAAGCCAGGTGCCTTCAAAAACATGAACAAAACATGATAGTGCTGTACTATCTATTGTGATAAGCCATCTTAAACACCATTTCTTCTAAATATTATATGAAATACTCTTCAGGATATAAAATTACTAGGAGAAAAGTCAATCCAGAGTATTCTAGTTGTACTTATCTTGCCATAACTTAAGTATCATCCTCATGTTTTATGCCTATTAATTCTCCTTTATACCTAAAACAACCTTACATAAATGGTGAAGTAACTGAGATAAAACTGGGATTTAATACTATCTTCATCTCAACAAACAACTGCAGACAGGCTTGGGGAGCAGACATGTGTTCATGCAAAATTGGATACAGATCCTTAGCCCCCATCACTTGCAAATACACAAAAGCTACCTGTGATAATGAACTAGACACTTTAGAAGGAAGTTTGGGCCTGTCAAGTGCTCCAAATGCTTCAGCTCATTGAAACAGCACAAAGTGAACTGAGCGCTCGCCAGGTTCTCCTAAAGCAGGTCGAATACAAATATGAAAGTCAAGCTTAAGTGTTGAATACAAGCTTAAGAACCATAGTGAAATTCAGGCCTATGCACAGCAGATTTAAATATATAGGATTTCAGTGGATTGGTGAATTTGTTACAGTTTTAATAAAATCATTCTTTGAAAGGCATCAAAGTTAAATTAATCAGAAATACATATATAGAAAGTGTTACACAAAGTGCTTTTAGTTAACAAAGCAAAAGTACCAGAATAAAGGAATTAGGAACTGAATTGACTAAGTCTCGGAGAGCACACACTAAAATTCAGTACTGTAGGTTTTACACATTATAACTTTATAACATTCAAATGAGACCTTTACTTCTGTAAGTGTAGGACCAC